TATCGTGGGGTTGTTAACCAATGTCATAAAACAATATGTGTACTGACTGTTTAATGAGAAACTATTTGTTCTGTAAACCTTCACCTAAAGCACAATAAAAATAAATTAAAAAGTAAACAATTAAACCACTTAACTGAAAAAAAAAAAAAAAAGCTTCCAGATTAGGGTTTCCTACTCCAATGGGTTCAGAGCAATTAGGAATTGGCTTTTTGTACTTTTCCCCACATTGACACACCACCCTCTTCCAAAGAACCTGAATTATTGGGGCTGGGAGGGTGAAGTGTCATCATTTTCAATTTAATTTACTCCTGTCAAGTTAATTTTAAATTCACTACAAGTGAACTATGCCTTGCCTCAGTTCTGCTGTACTTTCAACTCTTCTCTGATCTGTGTATCTGTCACACTAAGGGCCATGCCTGTCTGGGATGGCTAGACTCTGCTAATTGTTATACCATCATTAGATGTGTGAGGCCAACTAGGAAACAAAACGCTGACCATTTTACCACTGAGAGTTACCATTAGGCCTCTCAGGGAGACAGTCTCACCATTATGAAGATAGAAAAGCATCTGGTTAAGATGGGTGTTAAGTGACTGCAACCATGATGAGTATCTTAAAACTCCTAGCCCCCAGCCAGTTGCTGTGAACTGGCTTTGAGCACAGTCAGGCTGCAGTCTCTTCCTTCTAGGTCTTGTGAGCTTCAGCAGCGTGTCTCTTGTCATTGCCTAACCTACCTGGTCCTGAAAGTCTCTCACACTGAGGCAGGAGAGCACCTGTTCGTCATCTCTCCTGTGAGCAGAATAAGAGGAAACTTGGGAGCATTTGACTGTCTACAGAGGAGATATTTCCCGATAGTGAGGGAAGTTGATTACAAGGAGCTTGAGCACCTCCTTATTGTGAGCGCTCTAAGAGCTGATCTTCACTACCTGACATGTTGTTTATTGTCCTGCTCCCTCTCATTCTCCTCTCCTACTCCCCTTATACAAAAACTCATTGCCCTGGAGTCGATTCTGACTCATATCGACCCTACAGGACAGAGTAGAATTGCCCCGTTGGGTTTTCAAGGCTGTAATCTTTCTGGAAGCAGACTGCCACATCTTCCTCCTGCAGAGCGACTGGTGGGTTCGAACCGCCAACCTTTTGGTTAGCAGCCGAGCATTTAATCGTTGATCACTAGAACAGTACCTGACACGTGGCAGTTACTCAGTAATTATTGGCTGAATGTTGTAAACTGTAAGAGTCTTTTCCACGTGAGTTGCTTCAGGAGTGGCCTTACTTTAAGTTGAAGTGGGACCAAGATGCCTCACTGACATTCCTTCAGTGCTAGAGTCTATAAGTCTAGACTTTGAGAATCCAAGAGGCCCCTGTCAGCCTGAGCAAGCAGCTGCTTTGCTAAAGGGGGTGTGTGGTGAGGATGAAGTTACCAGGCGGATGGGGTGGGGATGGGTGGGAAGCTTGGTGAGCAGCAAGAGCATCTCAAAAGATGAAGGGAGTCCCTGCTAATGGGTATGACTCAGGGAGAATGTGGAAGGATCATGGAGGTGCCTTTTTCCTCAGGACAAAGGTGGCAATGATACAGAGCGCAGGGAAGAGCAACATTTGATTCAGCCAAAGGCGTGGCCAATTCAGTACAGGTTGTTGCCCTGAGGAGAGACTGGCTCAACCAGGAGCAGAGCTAAAATCTGGAGACAAAGCACCTCCAAGCAGCAGAGCTATTGCTGTGCCTCCAGCCTTTTAGGATCAGCAGCCTTTCAAACCCTGACTATTTTTAAACAAAGATCTCTAGAAGAGACCCCCATATCTCTCTTAATCACAGGCTCCACCTGGATTGTGAAAAAGAGCTTTCTGACTGTGAACCGTGACCCTTCATCCTGCAATTTCCTTGGTGCTGGAGAATAGCTCCTTGTCATCCTCCTCAGGAGACAGAACTGGCTCACAGCCCCCAGTCACCTCACTGGATGATGTCAGAATCCCTTTCTCAGACCACTCAGCAGCTAGAGATGCTGTGGTATTGTCAGGCCCACACTGGGTGACCCCTATCAGATCTCTGAATCCACAGGTCCAGAGCAGGTCAGAAACCACATTAAATTATATCTTCAATAAAGTCATCTTTAAAAGGAGTTTAAGGCCCCCACCCTCCTCCAAGAAAAAAAACTTGCAATTTTCTGGAATAAGATACCCCTCAGAACTTTTCCTGCTAAAAAATACTTTGTCATTAGGATCAAAGCACGAGAAATTACACTTTTCTGCAACAATACTTTGAAATTTTCCTATTTAAATTACCTTTTTTTGTTCTTTTTTTAAAGGAGGTGATGGTGTTGTAACTTTTTCACTTGGCCATAACTACACTACTGGTTTAGGTAGTAGAGGTGAGTACGTCCTCTCTAAATCTACCTAGCAAATGAAAAGTGGAAGAGATTTCTTCTCTTCTTTAATGAGTGTAAACTGGAATCTCACTTACTTTGTCTTGCTTACCTTGGCATATTATCAGAAGGGACCAATCTCTGGAGAAGGACATCATGCTTGGTAGAGGGTCAACAAAAAAGAGGAAGACCCTCAATGAGATGGATTGGCACAGTGCCTGTAACAATGGGTACAAACACACCTGCTATTATGAGGATGGCGCAGGATGGGGCAACATTCTGTTCTGTTGTACATAAACTCGTTATGGGTCAGAACCAACTTGACTGCAACTAACAATGACAAACTGCAATCTATCAGCAAGAAAGAGAGAAGGGGATGAGTTTCTAAAAAGTGGTCAGAGAGGGGCAGGGGGATGGAGGGAGAGGGAGGAAGTATAGCTGGTGAGAAAGAACTGCAGCCTTGTTTGTGGGTGGGACCCAGTGGAGGAAGTGATGTCTAATTTCCAAACTTACCAGCCTGATTTTCAATTTGCTTTGTGAATCCTAGGCTGTGGGCCCAACAAAAGAATGGTAGTACTTGTTTTCAAATTATTTTAATACTTGACATGGGGAGATGCAGCACTCTGTTTAGCAACACACTTGGAGACAGCATCTTGCCTGGATTGTTAAAACCAAACCGCTGCACTTGTCACAGCCCCTAGATCCACCAAGTTTTTAGGTGAAGTCTCACAGGGCCATTCCAGCTGCAGTTTAACTCTAGCGGGTTGAGCAAGATGAACAATAGGGAGGAGAATCCGAATAACAAACCACTGTTATTGGGCACCAAAACACGGAGAGGAATTTCCCCCATCCTCTGCAGGCTCAAGCTCCTACATAAGGTATCAACAGAACCTCAAACTCACACCTACACATGCATTCTTGCAGGAAGCATGCATCCTTCAAGGACAGATCCTCTTTGGACTCATCAATTGTTATGCACCCCAGGTAAAGGTTCGGACTGGTAAAGATTGCTTCCTCCCTTCATTCCTGGGTGGGGAGAGGGAGATTAAGAGTAGGTGGGGATGAGTTTATTTTATAAACTATTTATTATCTTAGCTCTGTGGATAACTGCAACTGTAGCCCCCACTCCCACACCCGGGCTCACACTAACAGGATGAATGGGTCTGGAAGCCGGATTTCTTCCCCCTCGGCTAAGCCTGCCGGTCCTCTCCTTCCCCAGCCAGATACACACAGCAGCCGGAGACCCAGGATCGCTCGACGTCCGCGGCGGGTGGGCGCAGCAAGGCCTCCCGAGCTGCAGCCTCTCTTTTCCCGGACGCACTGGGGATTGAAATTTAATTAACTGTGACAGCCACAGCAATGAGGATTGAATTTTCACAATAGAACACACCCCCATTTTTTTTTGTTTTCATCCCCCTCCCCCGCCAAAGCATTTGAATTAAAAGAAAAAAACCTGAACGAGAAGTCTCACGCACATGTTCTCGGAAACCGCAGCTGGCGGAGGATGCGGAGGGTCAGGGAGCAGTGCGGACCAGGGAGACGCCGCGGCCGCGGGGGCGGGGCTGCAGGGCGGGGCGGAGCCCGGGTGGTCACGTGGGTGCGGGCCCTTAGCCCTGCCCATTTAAGGCCTCCGGGACTTGGTGATTTGTAGGGCTTGTGCTCCCACATCTCGGACGCTCTGCGGCCGTGGCCTTTGCGAATAATATCAAGAGCTGCTTGGCTGCCGGCTTGCTGCGGGATCAAGTGGCCATCGTCACTGGCGGCGGCACGGGCATCGGAAAGGCCATAACGCCCGAGCTCTTGCACCTGGGTGCGTCAGCAGCCCTCTGGGCACGGGTACCGAGAGGGAAAGGGGCGGGGCTGGGGGCCTGACGGAGCGGTGGAGACACGGGCTGGGGTACTCTGCAGTCTGGAGCCAGGGGACACTGAGCGGGGCTGGGAGAACGTGGAGTTGCAAAACAAGTGGGTGAAGATGTGGGGGAAATTAAACCAGTGGAAAGAAAGGTCTTCTCCCTGAGACACTGTGGGAAAGAGTTGGGTGATAAACCACTAGTTTTAAACTAAAGGGAACACTTAGAGGCAAAGATACTGTTCCCAAGGTAGGTGTCTTAGTCATCTAGTGCTGCTGTAACAGAAATAACCACAAGTGATGGCTTTAACGAAGAGAAATGTATTCTCTCACGGTCTAGGAGGCTGGAAGTCCGAATTCAGGGTGCCAACTCTAGGGGAAGGCTTTCTCTGTTGGTTCTGGGGGAAGGTCCTTTTCATCAATCTTCACCTGGTCTAGGAGCTTCTCCCAGCAGGAACCCCAGGTCCAAAGGTCACACTGTACTCGTGGTGCTGCTTTCTTGATAGTATGTGGTCCCCATGTCTCTCTGCTCGCTTCTCTCTCTTACATCTCAAAAAAGGTTGGCTTAAAACATAGCCTAATCTTGTAGATTGAGTTCTACCTCAGTAACGTAATTGCCTCTCATCCTGCCTCACTAACATCATAGAGGTAGGATTTACAACACATAGAAAAATCACATCAGATAACAAATTGCTGGACAATCATGCAATACTTGGAATCATGGCCTTGCCAAGTGGACACACATTTTTTGGGGACACAATTCAATCCATAACAGCAGGGATAAGTAGATCTGTGAAAACATGCTCTAGAATTAATTGTGGGTGTGTATTTAGAATTAATCCATCGTTCTACATATTGCCTAATTTGAGTGACTAGGAAACATGGAAAGAGGTCATTTAACTGGAAAAGGTTGTAAACACTAATCATATAATCTCACATCCTTATCGTAACTAAAAAACAACAACAAAAAAAAAAAAAAACACCTGTTTCGGTCCAGTTGATTCTGACTCATAGCGACCCTCTAGGGCAGAGTAGAACTGCTGTATAGGGTTTCCAAGGAGCAGTTTGTGGATTTGAACTGCAGACCTTTTTGTTAGCAGCCAGACGCTTAACCAGAGCCCCCCCTACATGTATTACTTTTTTGCCTTATCTACATGGAGATGTAACTCCTCACTGAATTAAAAATATATATACAAAAAGTTTAAAGGCATATGAAGAAAAACATTTACAACATATGACAAATAGTCTTATTATATAAAGAGCTCTCACAAATAAATAAGGAAAAGATCCGACATCCGGATAGAAAAACAGGCTAATGATATGAACAATTTGTTCCGAAAGAACTACAGATAGGTAATACATATGTGAGAAAATAATCAATTTTAATGACAATAAAATGCAAAATAAAACAATAATAAGATACTGTTTTTTTTAAAACAAAATTTTACAGTGGAAAAATGAAAGTGTTGATGAAGAAATGGTCAGGCAGGCAAGCATGTAAATTCTTAAACTACCTGTTGGGGGGGCAAAAAACAAATAAAAAAAACATTAAAAACCTTAATAATGTTATGCTCTATGAGATGGTACTTTCTGTCCCAGGAATTTACCCTAAGGAAATAATCAGAGATGAGCAAAAGTTTGTATACAACGATGCAGTGTTACTTAAGTAGTGAAAAATTGGAAATAACCTAGAATATCCATTAGGTAGGAAATAGTTAAATAAACCAACAACAATAAAATATTATGCTTCCGTTTAAACATCTTGCTATTGAAGACTTTAACTTTATGGAGAAATGTAGAATGTATTCCATACAATTGATAAAAAGCAGAACACAAAATACAGTGTTCCAATTTGATTGTTAATTAAAAATGTATGCGAAGAAAGTAACCGGAAGGAAGTTTATAACATTGTTAACAGCATTTTTTTTTTCTCCCTGCAAATGAATTGAATTATGGGTGGTTTAAATTGTTTTCTCTTTCAGATTTTTTTAAATGAGCACGTGAAGTGCCTTCCAAATGTGTTGCCAATGAATGGAACATACTATGAATTAAAAAATATTGTTGTAGATTAAAAAAATATGTAATTTTACAATAAGAAAAAACAGTGATAGGGAATTAACATTTCCTAATCTGGCCATCATGTATCTTGACCACCATGACTGCCCACTCCATTGGCAACACCATCCTCCATCCCCTCCCAGGGAAATCCATGAGAAAATCAGAATTGGTTACCATTTTATGCAAAGGTCAGGCACTAGGCTTTGTAGCAGATTTGTAGGATCCTGGTTCACCTTGTAGGATCCTTGGTGGGTTTTCATATATTTGAACTTTCTTGTTTGGTAAATTTGCATCAGCACTAGGGCACGGCAGCAGATTTTGTGTGTGTGTTAGCACAGGCCAAAACATTAAGACAGTGGTCTTGTAATTTTCTGAAAGCCATGGATCCAGGATTCAGATAAAAGCAATGGAGCTTCTCCTCACAGAAGTATTACATATACACTTTCTTAAAAAAAATCATATACTTAATTTTGTTGTGTTGGGAATAGACTTCCTTCAGTGAGAGAATTTTTACAATGACTTATTCACATGCTCTGATCAGTACTCAGGTGAAATTTGGGGATACCCTCTGCAGATCTCTGTAGTTCTCTCTGTCTCTAGCTCTCTTCTCTCTGTGCTCTGCATAATCTAGCTGTCTTAGCCTCTCCAGACGCCCAACTTTGTCTCTTCCACCCAGGGAGACTGCTGGGCTCTAATTGGGTTTCCCCTCCATGTGCTGCAGCCTGCACTCTCTCTCTAGGCAGCAAGCTGGGCAATCACAGAGCTCACGTTGTTTCCACTCTTTCAGGATCGCAGTCCTGTGCTGCTTGATGTCCAGTGCCTGAAAACTGTTGTTTCATAGATTTCATCCAGTTTCTTAGTTGTTTTGGGCTGGAGAGTAAATCCAGATCCTGTTGGTGTTGTGGTTAAGTGTTTGGCTGCTAACCAAAAGGTCGACAGTTCGAATCCACCAGGCCCTCCTTGGAAACCCTGTGGGACAGTTCTACTCTGTCCTATAGGGTTGCTATGAGTCAGAATTGATGTGACGGCAGTGGGTTGTTTTTTTGTTTGTTTTGTCCAGAAACAGAAATCCTAATCCATCTTTTTTATAGGAACACATGAAATGTTTTCTAAACATGATTGTTGTTGGAAAATAGATAACTAACGAAAGCATATTTATTGCTGTTTTCCTCTCAGGGTGTAATGTGGTCATTGCATCTCGTAAATTTGATAGATTAAAATCTGCTGCAGAAGAACTGAAGGCCAGTCTGCCTCCCACCAGCCAGGCTCAAGTCACTCCCATACAATGCAACATCCGTAAAGAAGAGGAGGTAATGCAAATATATCTATATCATTTATTCATCCATTTTAATGTACAGGAGACGTTCCTAAACCTGACTGTGCTTCAGGTTCTCCAATGGTAGCTGTCTAAGATGGGGTCACTAGAAGCAGAGCCTGTGAAGGAGATTTTTTTATTTTTTTAATTTTATTGTGCTTTAGGTGAAAGTTTACAGCTCAAGTTAGTTTCTTATTCAAAAACTAAAACACATATTGTTTTGTGACATTGGTTGCTCTCCCTGCATGTGACAGCACTCTCCCCCTTTCAACCCCAGGTTCCCCGTGTCCATTCATTCAATTTTCCTGTCCCTTCCTGCCTTCTCATATTACTTTTGGGCAGGTGTTGCCCACTCGGTCTCATATTTGATTGAACTAAGAAGCACGTTCCTCATGTGTGTTATTGTTTGTTTTATAGGCCTGTCTAATCTTTGTCTGAAAAGTGGGCTTTGGGAGTGGCTTCAGTTCTGAGTTAACAGGGTGTCTAGGGGCATAGTCTCGGGGGCTCTTCCAATCTCTGTCAGACCAGCAAGTCTGGTCTTTTTTTTGTAAATTTGAATTTTGCCCTATATTTTTCTCCCCTCTGTCTGGGGCCATGTCTTATGATCCCTGTCATGGTAGTCAGTGGTAGCCAGACACCATCTAGTTCTTCTGGACTTAGGTTGGTGGAGGCTATGGTTCATGTGGTCCTTTAGTCCTTTGGGCTAATATTTTCCTCAAGTCCTTGGTTTTCTTCATTCTCCTTTGCTCCAGAGAGGATGGGACCAATAGATGTATCTTAGATGGTTGCTTGCAAGCTTTTAAGACCAGAGACACTACTCACCAAAGTTGGATGTGGAACATTTTCTTTAAGAACTATGTTATGCCAGTTGACCTAGATGTCCCCCAAGACCATAGTCCCTAGCCCTCTGCCCCAGCTGTTTGGTCCCTCAAGGTGTTTGGATGCATCTAGGAAATGTCTATGACTTAGCCTTGGTCAGGTTGTGTTGACCTCCCTTATATTGTGTGTTGCCTTTCCCATCACCAACGTTAACACTTGTCTACTGTCTAGTAGACAAGTAACTACTGTTTAGTTAGTGATTTCCTCTCCCCAACCACACTCGTAACCATCAAATAGTGTTTTTTTTCCTCTGCGTAAACCTTTTCTTGAGTTTTATAATAGTTGTCTCATACAATATTTGTCCTTTCGTGATTGACTTACTTCACTCAGCGTAGTGCCCTCCAGATTCATCCATGTTGTGAGATGTTTTACAGATTCGTCATTGTTCTTTATTGTTGCTAGTATTCCATTGTGTGTATATACCATAATTTGTTTATCCATTCATCTATTGATGGGTACTTAGGTTGTTTCCATCTTTTTGCTATTGTGAATAATGCAATGAACGTGGGTATTCGTGTGACGGCTCTTATTTCTCTAGGATATACAGTTCTCCTCTGTCCTGTAGGATCGTTATGAGTTGGAATTGACTCAACCTCAAGAGGTTTGTTTTTTTTGGTTTTTATATTCTTAGGAGTGGGATTGCTGGATTGTATGGCATTTCTATTTCTAGCTTTTTAAGGAGGTGCAATATCATTTTCCACTGTGGTTGTATATTCTTAGGGGAGCTCTGGTGGTGTAGCGGTTAAGAGTTACAGCTGCCAACTGAAAGGCTGGCAGTTTGAATCCACCAGTTGCCCCTTGAAAACCCTAGGGGGCAGTTCTACTCCATCCTATAGGGTCGTTATGAGTTGGAATTGACTCGACCTCAACAGGTTTGTTTTTTTTGGTTTTTATTTTCTTAGGAGTGGGATTGCTGGATCTTACGATATTTCTATTTCTAGCGTTTTAAGGAGGTGCAATATCATTTTCCACAGTGGTTGTACTATTTTACATTCTCACCAGCAGTGCATAAGAGTTCCAGTCTCCCCGGAACCTCTCCAACATTTATTATTTTCTGTTTTTTTGATTAGTGTCAGTATTGTCGGGATGAGATGGAATCTAATTGTAGTTTTGATTTGCATTTCTCTAATGGCTGATGACTGCAAGCATTTCCTCATTTGTCTGTTAGCTGCCTGAATGTCTTCTTTGGTGAAGTGTCTGTTCCTATCCTTTGCCCGTTTCTTGATTGGATTATTAGTCTTTTTGTTGTTGAGGTGTTGAAATATTTTGTAGATTTTACAGATTAGACCCTTGTCGGCTATGTTGTAGCCAAAAAAATTTTCCCAGTCTGTAGGTTCTCTCTTTACTCTTTTGGTGAAGTCTTTTGATAAGCATAAGTGTTTAATTTTTAGGAGCTCCCACTTATCTAGTTTCTCTTCTGGTATTTGTGCATTGTGAGTTATGGTTTGTATCTGCTTATGCCTTGTAGTAGGGCACCTAGTGTTGTTCCTATTTTTTTTTCCATGATCTTCATCATTTTAGATTTTATATTTAGATCTTTAATCCATTTTGAGTCAATTTTTATGTATAATATGAGGTATGGACCCTGTTTCATTTTTTTGCAGATGGACATACAGTTAGGCCAGCATAATTTGTTAAAGAGACTGTCTTTTTCCCATTTAACAGACTTTGGGCCTTTGTCAAATATTAGCTGCCTGTAGATGGATGGATTTACATCTGGGTTCTCAATTCTATTCCATTGGTCTGTGTGTGTCTGTTGTTGTTCCAGTATCAGGCTGTTTTGACTACTGTGAAGGAGATTTTTGTACAGATGATTTATTGTTATTGAATAAGCCCTGGAAAAGGGGCAAGAGGGAAGCAGGATAGGGAAGCTAAGCAAGGATGGTCTCACCTAGACACTACCTTTTTTCCCTTTAAGTCATTTCTTTTTGCTGTATATATTTTTAAGTTTTTATAGTTTATTAATCCTCTGATGAAAAATCCACACAATAATTGCAGGTCAAGTCACTGCAGAATCTTTAACTCCTTTTTTGCCAGCACCAACATTGGCCTATGCTGTTCTCCTTAATTTCTTCGTTCTGTTCTTGCATTCCTTGCACTGTTTTCTTGAGGTCTTTTTCTTCTCATACAAGCTATGTCTTGCAAATCTGTATTTGGGTTCATTTTTCTTTGTGTAATCCAAGTAATTGTAAACCATGCTGAAGCCAGTAGTCTTGCCACCACCAAAATGGGTTCTGAATCCAAACGCAAAGATGACGTGTGATGTGGTCTTGTACATTTTTGCTGGTTTTTCCCAAATTTCTGTTTAGGTACTGTTGCCTTCCCAGGGTGAAGGACATCAATGACTATTTGACTTCTGCTGGAGTGGTTGGTTGGTTGTGAACTTCCTGGTTCAGATAGTTACTTTGCTGTTCATGATGGCAGTTACTCCTCAGCCAGCCAGACAGGAAAAGAGCTGTATGCTTTTGTTTTTGTTTTTTGTTTTATTGTACTTCACGTGAAGGTTTACAGAACAAATAGTTTCTCATGAAACAGTAGTACACGTATTGTTTTATGACATTGGTTAACAACCCCATGACATGTCAACCCTCTCCCTTCTTGACCTTTTTTTTTCTTTTTGTGAAAATATACATAGCCAAAGATACACCATTTCAAAAATTTCTACATGCACAGTTCAGTGATGTCGACTATGCTCCTCCAGTTGTGCTGCTATTCTCACTTTAGATGGAGGTTTACAGAACAAAATAGTTACTTATTAAACAGTTAGGACACATGTTGCCCAATGACAATGGTTAACCACCTCACAACACATCAACACTATCCTCACTCAACCCGGAGTTCCTTATCACCAGCTTTCCTGTCCCCCCCTGCCTTCTAGTCCTTGTCCCTGGACTGCTGCGCCTCATCAGTCCCATTTGGTTTTATGGGGCTGTCTACTCCCCGGCTGAACGGTGAACCTCGGACTGAGCTAAAAGGGTATCTGGGGGCCATACTCTTCGGTGTTTCTCCAGTCTCCTTTAGGCCAGTAAGTCTGGTCTTTTTTTCGTGAGTTAGAATTTTGTTCTACATCCTTCTCCAGCTCTGTCTAGAACCCTCTGTTGTGATCCCGGTCAGAGCAATCAGTGGTGGTAGCCGGGCACCATCTAGCTGTACTGGACTCAGTCTGGTGGAGGTCTTGGTCTTGGTAGCTGTGGTCCATTAGTCCTTTGGACTAATCTTTCCCTTGTATACTGTTCTCTTCACGCTCCCTTGCTCCTGAAGGGATGAGACCAGTGGAGTATCTTAGATGGCTGCTCACAGGCTTTTAAGACCCCAGACACTACTCACCAAGGTAGAATG